TTCTCCATAGTTGTTAGTCGCGAAAATAACTGCTCGAGTGCGGCAGTGCTGATCATGGTTGTCGCTTCATTTGTCGCAGCCGGGTTGGTTTGTCCTTCGGCCATCAGATTGGCTTGGCCTCCGGATCCTCCGGCCATCTTGGTTTTCGAGCGTGTGCCGCTCACCAGGTCTTGGTTCGGCGAATTTCACGGAAGTGAAGTTGCGAAGAGTACCTGAGTAGCTCTGATACCATGTTACAATCCAAGTGGGACTTAGCGAAGGATCGTTCAGGGTTGATCGCAGGGTAGTGTTGCAGCGGAAGTAGTGAACTCAGGTCAAAGTGAATGTAAATGACTGAGATAATAATAGCATGCATACATCGGGTTTATATAAGAATACAAGGGAATACGAAAAGACCTAGACTAGCCATGAACTATAAGGGGTACATTCCCTTATCGCAGCGAATTCAAACAGTGCGGCGCGGGAACTCGTCTCAAACATGTTCCCGCTCTTTTCATTTCAAATGTTTCTGCCTGCATCGGTCTTGGTCAGACGGTTGCTGCGTCACTTCGACTCTTCTAACTCCTGGACTTCATACTCGGTAGAGTGGGCTCCTGCAGCATACAGGAATGCCTTCTCATATGATTTCATATCGTAACATCTTTAAATAAAAGTTTGAACATTCGAAATCAATGTATTCAACGTTTCGTCAGAATTGTACTCAATGTTTCATTCATCTGATACTGAAACGTGCAAGACTAAGGGGATTTCCAAAAAAACATGCTCTGACAGGGCCAATTTTTGTGTCAGGGCGAATCTTGAGGTGTGAAAGGGCGAATCTGCGATGCGAGGTGGATTTTTTTTGTGATTGGGCGAAGTTGTTGTGTTCTGACGGCGCAAATCTGTGGTGTCAGGGCGATTTTGTTGTGATTGGGCGAAATTTTGTGCTGTAAGGCGCGGATTTGCTGTGTCAAGGCGATTTTGCGTTAAAAATGCGAATCTGCTGTGACCCGTGAAGTCCGAATGACCAGTCAAGATCGTGTTTGTACTCTGAATGATCAGAGTACACTTCCGAAAAACTCTGAAATTTCAGAGTTAGCCTTAAATAAAGTCTGAAACTTTCAGAGTTGAGGCTCTAAAAAGTCTGACATTTTTTTTTTTTTTTTTTTTTTTTTTTTTTCAGGTAGGCGGAGCAGCCACTAGATGTGTGGCTTATTCAAGGCGGTAGGTGGCAGCAATGTCAGCGACAGCGGCAGTAAGAACCGAGATAGACGACGGAGAGGTACGAAGGTCCGTGACAAGAGAGGTGAGAACACGCGGTACAACAGGACGAGCATCAAGGTAGTATTCTGAGATAGGAGTAGAGGAGACATGAAGAGACGACTCAAGAGGAGATGGGAGAACAGACGCAGGCGGAGAATGACGACGACTAGAACAAATGAGGGCAGTGACGAAGTCGTCAAAGGGAGACAGGGATGGACGCGGTAGTGCGGGACAACGGGAGGAGGAGACGGGGACCGAGGAGGGGAGGAAACAGCAGGTGATGCGTGAGGAGGAAACATAGCACCAAAGACAGTGAGGGATTGTGCGCGGAAAGGAGAAGAGGGAAGACCAAAGGCCCGAAGACCACTCACGGGTGGGAACAACTGCTGCAAAAGGAACGGTTGCTGCTGCTGCCGCTCCCGCCGCTGCTGCTCCTACTGCACCTGCTGCTGCTCCTGTTGGTCTAGTTGTTGCAGCTCCTGCCTCTCTTGCGCCAACCTCTCCTGCTCCTTGCACGCATGCCGACAAGCAGCCTGGTAACGTGTGTCGTGACAGTGGGGTGGCAAAGAAGGCGTCAAAATAGGAGTGCCTCCAGCTCCAACCCCCACAGAGCTAGCACCTCTAGTGCCAGCACCCCCAGAACCAAACCTCCAAGGTCAGGAACTCCAGCACCATCACCTCCTGAACTAGCACCTCCGGTGCCAGCAACTTCAACTCCATTACCTCTAGATCTAGCACCTTCAACTCCAGCACCCCCCAAACGAGCACCCCGAGACTGAGCACGACAAGTGCCAGCACCTCCAGCTCGATCACCACCAAATTCCACTATAACCTGTCGCAGAAGTGCCGAAGGCTACTAAGGGGACTGTGAGGAGGACTGCGGGGAGGGAGGCGCCACCGGACGCGCTACTGAGGGTAGAGGGGTAGCGTGAGACACACCTGACAGGGCAGGCTCAGGGCGGGGCGGGGGTACCGGAGGAGTGGGAGCAGGAGGAGGAGAGGGAGCGAGGAAAAGGGGAGGAGGGGGAACCAGGAGACCTCGACAGGGGTAGCGAGCGTAGTAGGACACTAATTCATCAAACCGGACGTCACTGGAGTCGAGGAAACGGTGGAGGGGTGGGTGGTATAACGCAAAAGTCAGGAGAGTCCACCGAGAAACCAAGGAGCACATAGGGGATGGCGCGAGCAGAGAGCTTGTTCGCAGAGGTGTCGCGGACAAGCGCAAGGCATCCCCAGACATAAAACTCCGATGCAACACTGGGACCCAGTATGAAGACTGGTCGGTGAATCCCCTGGTTGTGAGACACAAGGCCAAAGGTTCAGCTGGTGGGCGGCGTAGCGAACCGCGTCAGGCCATAGAAGATGGGGCGCACGGGCATGGATCATGGAGGCGATCTCCATGACCAGGCCAATGTGGCGCTCAGTAACCCCAGTCTGCTGTGGGGACTCTGGAAGCGTCCGGGACTGGGTGATGCCCTGTTCGCCGCAGAATCCGGCAAGCACATCGGAGCGAAACTCACCTCCATGGTTGGAGTGGAGACAAAGGACACGACTAGCACGAGTGCCCTCAGTGGCGAGGAGCCACCGGATCAACGTAGAAGTCACCTCGGACTTCAACGTTAGAGGAAACACCGTGGTGTACCTGGAGTAGTCGTCAACGACCAACAGAAAGCAGCGCTCCTGCTCAGGCCCAAGCCGATGGGCTGGGCCTTGGACGTCCAAGTAGAGGGTCTGGAAGGGAGCTATGGCCGTACGAAGGGAGGAGGAGTGGGAGTGGTGCGCAACCGACCCTCAACGCAAGGAGTGCACAACGGCGCAGGCGAGGGAGGGAGCGACACAAAGACGCGTGGGAGACCCGAGACAAGCCGCTGACTAGCCATGCTGCGGAGGCGGGGGAGGGACGGGTGACCAAGATGGTGGTGCCACAAGACTGTCAGGTGGGTGAGGGATCGACGAGGGCAAGACGCAACAACCTGACCGGATGTAGTAACCTGACCGGAAACAGTAACGTGACCGGACGCAGTAACCTGGCCGGACTCTGCTACTTGGGGAGACATAGTGTGTAGAACGAAGAGACGTGAGTGGGGATCTCTGGTAAACGTGGCAAGAAGTGCCTCGGTGGAAGCATCCGTACTGATCGATGTCCTCCCGTGCGCAGAAAAAATGACTATGATCCCACGGTCCTGAAGGTGGGATCCAAGTTCAGAGAGAACGAGAGGATGTAGAGACCAATGAGGAAACCAGAAGGGACAGCCAGGCATGGGAGAGTGGTAGAGCTGCAAGCGACTGCTGGTCCTGAAGTAAGATTAGTAAATTCAACTGCCACTGGAGAAGAAAGAGGTGTGACGGTGGTGTGGTCGCGGAAGAAACACAGTGACGCGCCTGATTCCAGCATGAAGGAGAGCGACACGACAGCAAATCGTCACGGCTGGACTAGTGACTACACAAGCATCTACACTTACGTACCTACACTAGCAACAGGCAAAGTTTCTAAGCTAGGTCCACGTAAGCCAAAAGATCCACACGGAACAGAATAAGTAGCATCTATAGACACATCAAACACATGGTAACCACGACGAGATAGACTGGGCCATATCGGGGGAGCCGAGTCGAGCCCCAAACGCTCACGGTAAAGGTCATCGAGGCTGCTGTAGCAGCGCAGTGCAGAGTGGTCAGGATGCCAACTTTTAGTGCCAGCACGAGGACCAGTCAGGATCTGGTACTGGCAGGGGCTGACTTTGCGGCCACCGCGATGAGCCCCCCAGCTGGCTTGGCTGCTGCTGCAGCCAACGCGACCCGTATCACCAGGCTCCAACTGCTACTGAGGGAGCCATTGCTGGTGAGGGCGCCAATGCTGCTAAGGTTCCCACTGCTGAAACTACCGCTGCTGCTGTCCCTGCTGCTGGAGAACTCTAGTGGACGCCATGGATAAGCCAAGCTGGGCGTAGGAGCGGCAGTCTAGGAGTAGCTGGGGCTAGAAACGGCCTGAGCCAGGAGCGGTTGGAGCTAGGAGCGACTGGAGCTAGGAGTGACTCGAGCTAGGAGCGTCTGGAGCCAGGAGCGACCGGAGTGAGGAGCGACAAGAGCCAGGAGCAACTGGAGCCAGGAGCAACCGGAGCTAGGAGCAGCTGGACCTATGAGTGGCTGCAACTAGACACGGCAAGAGCTTGTAAAAGCTGGAGCGAGGAGCAGCTGGAGCTAGGAGCGGCTGGAACAAGGAACGGCTGGAGTGAGACATGGCTAGAGCTAGAAACGTTAGGCTAGGAATTACTGGCGCTAGGAGCGGCTAGAGAAAGGAGTGGCTGGAGAGAGTAATGACAGGAGCTAGAAGCGGCTGGAGTATGACATGTAACTACCTACAAAGAAACATCAGCCTAGGAACGGTCGGGTAGGCAAGGCGGGCTAGAAAAACCAGTCAGGCCAGAAAACCGAAGCTACCTCACGAAAGTAACCGCGGCTGCCAGCCGCTGATAGAGGTGCCTGTGGCTGGAGATGAGCGCAAGACTTTGGGCATGGGTGGGTCACAGGTAGTGCTATTGGTGGCTAGGGGGGGTGACTGGCAGCCTGCGGCTGGTGGCTGTAACGGCGGAGCAAACTGCAAGGCATACTGAGGGCTGCTATGGGCGGCAATAGGCAAAAATGGGCGGGATTAGGCGGTGATGGGCGGCTAGGAGGGGCTGTGGGTGGCTGGGAGAGGCTGTAGGTGGCTGGGACGAGGAGTGGGCGGTTAGGTGGGTATGAGGGGTTGTGGATCGGGTATGAGGGGCTGTGGGGCGCGTTTCTTGCTGGGGCGTGCGTTTCTGGCTAGGGGCACGCGTTTTGACTGGGGTGCACGCTCTGGCTGGGGCGCACACTCTGGCTGGGGCGCGCGCTCTGGTGGAGTGGCGCGCTGCACTGCTAGGTGGGGAGCGCTGCTCTAGTGGAGTGACGTGCGCTGCTCTGCTGGGTGGCACATGCTGCTTTGCAGGGTCACGCGCTGCTCTGCTGGGGTGCGCGCTGCTTTGCTTGGTGGCAAGCGCTGCTTTGCCGGCGCACACGCTGCTCTGCTGGTTGGCGCGTGCTATTATGCTGGGGTGGGCGCTGCTCTGCAGGGTGGCGTGCACTGCTCTGCAAGGCCGCGCGCTGCTCTGCTGAGTCGCGCGTGCTACTCTGCTGATGCACACGCTGCTATGTAGGGTGGCGGCCACTGCTTTGCTGGGTGGCAACCACTGCTTTGCTGGGTGGCGCATGCTACTTAGGATAGGCTACTACGGAGTGACGGAGCGACTACGGAGTGACGGAGCGGTACTAGGCTAGACTAAGCAATGGAGCACTGGCGGGCTAGGCTAGGCTAGGAGCGTACCTACTCATGATACCATCTTAAAACCCGCGGGCCAATTGTGTTGGAGCGAGCAACACAATTGGCCAAGATTTTGGGTGCGAAGGCCAAACTCAACCAAGGTTAGGAAGGTTGAGGCAATTTGGGCCTTCTTGGCCCTCAGGTTTTAATTGTTGAACAGTCTAATGCGTCGAGTAGTAAGGGAAAGGGAGTACAAGTCAAGTGTCGAGAGAATGATGTACCCCTTACTGTGAACCCCACAGTAGGCTAGAATCCTAACAAACATATAAAGAACGTTTGACAATGTTTTGCTCTTAATAATGAGGGTGGTTTCCGTGGTTGCGTTACGTGCTGGCGAACAAAATAGCATAGAAATTCCTGCATTCTTTCCATGTATGTTACCCTCTTCGTGTTCGACTGTTTGGCCTGGACGTAAAAATGTTCGACGCCCTAAGTCTACAATACATCTGAAGTTGTAACTCTCTACTTTCCATTTATTACAAACACCTGCACTCTCGAGCCGTTTGTTTGTTTCACCTTTTCTAACCGTCACCCATCGCCTTCAACAGTGATAAATGAACTGTAAGGGTATCGTACAAACTTGTAGGGTGTGTCAAAATGCGGTTGATGGTACGATCTAGGGCGGTCTGTTTTAGTGTTAGAAAGGTTGGGTAGGGTATAGTCACGAGTGCATATTTTTCCATCCAGAGTCAGATTTATCCCTACATTGAATTTGCGGCTTCCAGTTCCATCACATCATAGTGCGACATCTCCTTATTTGCGCAGGCTCGGTAACCCAGTTCGCCGCTATATTCCCAGTTTGCTCAGCCATACTCTCCATCGCATTCCCCTTTCCTTTCAGTACTTCTCGAAGATCCAGTGGTGCTGCAGAAACCTCTCTGCGTGCGTGAGGATATTCGGATTCGGGAGAAATTTCTCAGATCTGACTAGCGGCCTATATTATCTGTGGAGCGAATTAGTCTGCATAAATTTCTCAGATCATTGATATGGACATCGATGCTCCACTTACAGCTTAAACCTGAGAGCAACACCAGCAATGTTTCACTCACGGCTCAAACCTGATGGTAGCTTATTGTCGTCACCTTTTGTGACCTCATCGCCTGCGACGACCAAGTTGGCGATATTAGCGACGGCCGACGATGCTGTTTGCGACTGTCCGCTGCGTCGCCACAACGTGCGGGTGGTTGGGACGAGCAAAACAATGCAGCTTTTGTCGCACGGATTCGGCAGCAACCAAAGGGTACCCCATTCTTCCGCTTACCCCCGGCCTTCCAACACCCGCTCACCTCAACTTTTCCCCTTGTACCAAGCCGCCTCAAAACTGTTGGGTGCAAATACTTAATTTGCACGTCAACCTACCGCCTATTCAACGACGGTAAAAGAAAATAGGGAGTTTTGTTTGAAGGTAATTTGTGGCGTGAGAAATGTATTTTCATTTTGCATTTTGTGTGTGCGCATTTTGTGTATGTTCTGTGCGCATTCGTCCTTGCATTTTGTGTGTTTCGTTCTTATTTGTATTTGCATTTTGTGTTTGTGCATTTTCAGTTTTGTGTTCACTGTTCTCATGATGTGCTCAAATGAGGCTCACATGATGCGCTCAAATGAAGCTCTCATGAAGCGCTCAAATGAGGCTCCCATGACGCGCTCAAATGAAGCTCAAATGAAAGCTCAAATGAAAGCTCTCATGAAGCTCCAGTGAGCCTCAAATGAGCTTCCCATGAAAGTCTCATTTGTGTGTAATGTTTCATGCGTGGCTCATGCGAGCGAGTGGTGCATCGTGGGGTGTTTGTGGGGCTCCATAGTTTGACTGGGGAGTGTGTTGACTTTCGCGCTAGTCAAGCACGCAAAATCTTGAGTATGCGTATGGTCTTGATTTCGCGTGTGGGCCCCAGGGCAAATATTTCGTTTTTGAAGATCCGGATGCCTCCGGGGACCCCACGTAAATGTACGTAAAAATCCGGATCCGTAGAAAGGCTACCCTTTTCGATCCAGATTCCATCAAGAAGTACCCTGAGTCAGGGTGCTTCTAAAAACAACTGCAAAGTACAAGTGAAGAACACAAGTGTAGAACAAGTGTGAAGTACAAGCACCTCCATCCATTCAAGGGCCACTTCCTGACTCGAGTTCCTGAAAGAACCTAAAACTCTAAGGAAAGGCTAATTGCGACAAACACAAGACAATTCTTAAGTTGCATAACATCTGTTTCGCATCGCAGACGCACTCACTTAGGGACGCGACCAACCGATTCCGGCATAAAGGGTGTTTAGAAACACCCTCAAGCGTCCGGAATTGTATAGAAAATACCCTTTATCCGCCCGGATGATTTGGAAGTCGTCACCCTCAAATCCGAATCTCAGACAAAAACATCCGGAATGTTGAAGAAATTCCGGATGTGCACCCTGCTACAAGTATTACGGGTTAGAGGCCCTCGCTGAAAGAGTCCCTTTTCCCCCTTGTGAAGAGTTTTCCGATATCGCCTAGGGTTGGCCCGACCCCAATAGTCCCTTTTTTGGCGGAAAATTTTGCAGCTTGATCGAATCATTGCACGAATCAGCTCCGCAGCCAATCAGAGGCTCCAGATCGAACCAGCCCCAACATTCAGGGAAAACGAGAAATATGGGATCTTCAATTTGATATATAAATTTAGAATTGTAAGTAATTGTTTCTCTTGAGCGTGATTAATTCTCAATCTTGTCGCGCGGTCTCCAGCGCGCTCAACGATGACATCTCATTTACCTCGCTTACAAGGTAGACAAGAAGTTTTTACCTTCTATTCGACCCCCAAACCATTTTTTTTTTTTTTTTTTTTTTTTTTTTTGTCCGTTTGTCATGCCACATTGATCAGCGCGGGGAACCGAATCTACGTAAAAGACAAAATTGTGAGAATAGTACGAGTGAATGAATTGACTAGGAAGCAGGTGGGTACAAGTAGTAAACCTAAAAGTGTTGTACCCCATATTGTCTACCCCGCTACAGCCTACACAGACTATAGCATATAAGTTTGACACACCCCCATAGGAAAAGTGGGGGAGAACAAGCGGTCACAAGACCAGTCAAGAAGAACAAAGCAAGCTCAGGGTGGATCACGACGTCACCACGCATTCCGAGCACAAGCAAGCGGCCACAAGGCCAGTTCACATGCAGAGTTATATGAAGCAGAACAAGCAAGACACTGATCACAACCTAGCAAGTGTAAGCATGCAGGTCTATATATAGAGATCACAGTACAAGTTAAGTCAAGAAGTGAGCAAGTGAGGCCAAGTGGGCACAAGGCCCAGAACAGTACAGAACCGCTGATGATCACAAGGCTGAAGTGCCTTGGTGAAGATATCAGCAGTGTTGGCCTGAGAGGCCACGTAAACAAGACGAAGCTGACCACGCTGCTGCAACTCTCGAGCAAGGAAGTAGCCAAAAGCGATGTGCTTCGTTCTGTGCTCCCGTCTCTTCTCGCGACACAAGGCAAGCATTGCCTTGTTGTCGACGTACAGAACTGGAGGAGAACGAGGCGCCTCGCCCAGGTCGGTCAGCAGGTAGCTGAGCCAGCGTAGCTCCTGTGCAGCCATGGCCCCTGCATAGATCTCAGCCTCACAGCTGGAGCTGAGAACAGAAGACGATCGGGTAGACCGCCACGAAACAGAGCCGGAGCCAAGGCTGAAGGTGTAACTCTGTGACGACCGCTGCATAGCCAAGTCGTCAACCCAAGAAGCGTCTTCGTGACCAGTGAGGACAACTGGACCCCGTCCTCCAAGCACGAGCCCCATGCCCGACGTACTGCACAAGTAGCGCATCACCCTCTTAGTTGCCTTCTAGTGCTCTGGTCGGTGTCTCCCGGGCGCAACGTAGCGTGCCAGGATGCTAAGAGGGTAAGCAAGGTCAGGTCGAATGAGGGTCATCAAGGAACATGAGACAGCCTACAAGCTCTGGATACGGGCCACTCGGCTCTACGGACTCATCCGAAGGCAAAGCTGAGAGCGAGTGACCGGTAGGCAGAGGAGTGGTCTGTGGCAAGGAGTACTGGAAGTCGAAGTGCTGAAGGACCTGCTGCACCATGTGTGACTGAGTCAGGGTGATGGTGCGGCGTGCTCTATCCCGAGTGATTTGCAAGCCAAGATAGCTGCGCAGCTCACCGAGGTCTGTGCACGTGTGTCCCTTCTACAGCTCCGACTTCACTAGAGTCAGTGCCTCAGTGTCAGCAGTGGCAAAAACCAAGTCGTCGACGTACACGAAGATGTAGAACGGCGACAGCGAAGTGTCGGTGCATAGAAACAGCGACGGGTCAGCAGTAGAAGGAGCAAAGCCAAGAGCCGCAAGGGTCGTCCTCAGCGTGTCGTGCCACTCGCGAGGCGCCTGGCCGAGACCGTAGACTGGCCGTCGGAGGCTCCACTGGGTACCAGGAGGGAACGACCCAGTGAAGCCAGGTGGGCGGCGCAGCCAGATCTCCTCGTGCAGGCTGCCGTGTAGGAAGGCTGTGCTGAAGTCAAGAGAGTGAAGCTCGTAGTCACGCTGAGCGGCGACATGCAGCAGCACCCGAAGAGTGGTGATCTTCGGGGTGGGGAAAAAGGTCTGAAAGTAGTCAACTCCCTATCGCTGACTGAAGCCTCGAGCAACGTAACGCGCCTTGAAGCCATGCAGAGAACCCGGCGGCCGCTTCACCCTGAAAATCCACATGCCATCGATAATGTTCGCCCCAGGTGGGGGAACCTCGTCAACATAAGTGCCTGTGGACTTCCAGGAAGCCATCTCTGCGTGGGGAGGCCGACTGTAACTGCGACCGCGACCGGACAGGCAGTGGACACTCTAAGGAAGGAGTTGGACCAGTAGAAGGCGGGAGACCAA